TTCTTCTCAGCGGTTTTAATCGGGACATGATCATTGATCATCTTAATAATGCTAGAAACGAGGTATGCCTGGATGCAGTCCTGCAGCTTGTGCACAAAATAGGAGCCTTGCCTCAAGGTCAAATGCTGAAGTGCACGTTTGTGTAAATATGCAGCCGATAAACGGTCGTTGTTGGCTGAGCCGGGGAAGAGTCACGTTACAAACTGACCGGTGCCGATCGATTCGTCGCGGTGTGCCGCATTGATTGGTGGAGGGACGAGCGCGGCTGATTGTATAGTCGGCACGCAGTCCGCTGATTGGTTCGCTTATCTGATCACCAGGGCCGAATAAGATCGCCCCCGCCCTCCCCAGTGCTCCCTCAGATTGCATTCCTGCCGGCACGCTGGAATTTATACAATACCGGGACCCCACAGTCACCGCACGGAAAACGACCGATACCGACTGTTTAAATGCGGGGATGACGTCGCCACGGCTATTTCTGTCCGAGTGATTACAGAAAAGGCGATACTTACGATGATGCCAATTACGATGCATTTCTCAATTAAAATTTTGCTATAGATTAGCCATATGCATTATACCAATGATAAGCTACATGAATTGGATCAACGATTTTAACTCTGAAAAGCACGTAGCACGGTATCGCTTCCAAGAAGTAACGAGAAGCTGATATCCGAGATTTCTGTTGCCCTTTGACCTAAGCGGTATCCAAAAAATATAAAGACTGAAGGAATTCAATTATCAGGGAAGAAAAACATCCTTCACGCATGCAAAACAGCCGAGTACCTACAGTTGCCAAGAGCAGAAAAGCTGAACAGAGTCAACGATTCAATAGATTTTGCAGGGACTAAAACACTTCCCCATTCAAGCAATGAAAAATGCATTCATACCCCAGCCGACGTCTCGTTAAATGAACGATTAAACGCAGAGGCGATCACCTACTGGCGTTTCGAGAAAAACGTAAAGCACAACTAACAGTAGTAGATTCAACGCAATGAGTCATCGCTATTTTGCTAGGAGCATTCCACAGCCTCAACGACTCATTCAAACTGCTACCACTCTTCCAACATGCGGCTTGTATATTGTTATTACGCCCTCGGTGCTGTTTTTACCCGTGTGACCGAATTACGCGGTGTCACTGCAAACAGTTGGTATTTACGCCACGTATAGTGAGGCACCCAATCGATCCCGTACGGTCAGTGTGCTCTGGATTTCATTTAGCGTCGCCACTTTGGCTCGTCCAACTGCCGGAGGGAGCGGGTGACCCCAGTCCCCCTGCCCCCTACCGAAGCTGCCCGTCCCCCCTCCGTCGCCTGGCGGCGGTCGGAGATGGAGCGTCGACTGGCCAGCGCCGGGCAGGCCGCTCGCTTTATTCAGTTAACCATTACACCCGTTCGTGACCTGACTTCGGAGCGTCCACAACAATAGACGGAATTATCCATGCAAAGTATACAGTGGCCGTAAAAATATGGCCGCTGGTCAGAGCGCGAATGTTAAGCAGGTCAATTGGAGCTGGTCGACTGGGCAGCTCGGTTTGATACTGCCGGACGCCGCTCGTCTCCATCCGACCGGCCGGTGGAGACGGACGCAGATGGGCGCACCGTCGCCGAAAACGGCCCGCTCCTGGCCCGAGAAACGGCCTCTTGGAGACGCGGAAAAGGACACGGAGGCATTTTGGCGCAGGTACGGAGCAGTACTTACGATGCGATACGATAGAACACTGCAAGAGCCTTTATGCTAGCATTTGTATAAGTGGTGTGTCTGAATCGGTCGTATCATCGCAAGAATGTCTTCTTGAACAGCCAAAAATGTGACCGGTAGAGTCCAACGAGATACGTTAGGCAAGGAGAGTGAATAGCACTACATTGGATACATCTAAGTAATACTTTATTCACCTTCTTTGTTCATATGTTCCCTTTCAACCATCAATTATTTTAATTGATGAGAGCGAATTTCTTCACTAAAAGGACGGCGCTGATTGGCCGGTTTGTCTACTAGCCGCTGTTGACGGCCCGCTGTTGGCGGCGTGTCCTCCGCCTGCTCCATCCGTCAGCTCCGTCCGCACGTCCCCTGATGACGGGTCAGTGGTCTGTCCGTGACGCCGGGGTGCCACTCGACGCTGATTGTCCATTCACGCGCCCGTACGCACACGCATAATAACGCACGGCGCGCCCTCGCAGTGGTGGAGGCGATTAACGCGCGCAGGTTTGTGGGAGTGGAGTGATTTCGTGATTGGATGTCACCTGCAGAATTTAAAGTGATCTTGCTCTACGGACTAGGCATGCTCAGACGAATACTTGATCACGTTGCTTGTTTACGAATTAAGCAAATAAATATCTACATATAACCATGTTCTTAAGAATCTGTAATTATGCTAGCACAGGTACATTATATTGCTTGGAATAAAAACGTCCCACGACCCACTTTTACCTTTCCGTGTCCTTATCGGTTTTGGTTGACCTCAATCGATAATAGCCTAAATTGTTTAATTGACGGAATTAATTAGTAATGAATTGACTGATGCTATAAATGATTATTGCATCGCTGATGGTAGCTCTCGAGACAACACGCGAGCATTACTATCGGGGCGCAAACATTCCTTCGGTGTGACAAAGAAATTCAGAGGTTTGACCAGGTAGGTTTAGCACCACTGTTCCAGTTGCCACCGTAGTGCCGGCCTGTTCTGGGCTGGCCGCTCTGTTGCTGTGCTGACCTATTCTGGTGCTGTGCTGGCCGCTCTCTGGTGCTGTGCTGGCCGCTCTCTCTGGTGCTGTGCTGGCCGCTCTGTTACTGTGCTGACCTATTCTGGTGCTGTGCTGGCCGCTCTCTGGCGCCGTGCTGACCGCTCTCTGGCGCTGTGAGCTGACCGCTCTCTGGCGCTGTCTGGCCGCTCTCTGGCGCTGTGCTGGCCACTCTCTGGCGCTGTGCTGACCGCTCTCTGGCGCTGTGATTGCCGCTCTCTAGCGCTGTGCTGACCTATTCTGGCGCTGTGCTGGCCGCTCTCTGGCGCTGTGCTGGCCGCGCTCTCTGGCGCTGTGCTGACCGCTCTCTGGCGCTGTGCTGGCCGCTCTCTGGCGCTGTGCTGACCTATTCTGGCGCTGTGCTGACCTATTCTGGTGCTGTGCTGGCCGCGCTCTGGCGCTGTGAGCTGACCACTCTCTGCCCGCCGCGCCGGTCACCAGCACATGATGACGTCATCACTTGTGAGAACGACCGCAATGAATAAGGAAGACCTAAATTGATTGAGGGCGTCCGCAAAACAGTGGCACGCGCCAACCGACAAGGACAGCACAAACAGCTGGGGTCGAGAGCTGAGGGTGGAAACTAACATTTGAAAGTTCAGACGATGTGAAACTGACATTAAATATGAGAGTTCAGAGCCAGGCGTAAGATTAGTAGATGTAGGTAGAGAGTCATGCCTGAGATCTGAGGACAGAACGCTGAGAATTAAGGGCCAAAAGCAAAAGATTGAGGACATGAGAGCAAGAAGGGAGCTTGAAGAACAAAGATAAGAACCGTCATTAAATTTCTGGGTTTAAAGCTGGGAACAGAAAGTCAGGAAGTCGGTGCCGTGAGTTGGTTTGTCTGCAATAGAGAATGAAGCGGCCGCGTGCGTTTTCCCCCGTAATGGATCCTTTCCCCAACGGGATCATCTCGATGGAATCCATCTTTTCCATAGCGCCGGCTCGGAATAGTCCGGCAGAAATCATCGGGCCGGCGCCGCGGCAATTGGCGGCAATTCCCTGAAACCATCGGGCTAAATGATTCCCGGCTTTATTGGCCGGTCAGGGTGGGATGCGGTAATCGCCCGGGGTGTCACCGTTGACAGAGCGACGCCACGGGTGGGCTGACCTGACCTCGCACCGCGCCACTGTGCATACGTCCAGCCCATCCACATCCCGCCCCAGCCGAGCAGAGCACGAGCGGCCCCTGCCTTTTTTCTAACGGCGTCGTCTGCACCCGGTCCATAAATACCGCCGCGCTCCACTTTGTATCGAAATGAGCAATTTATTTCCGCCGCCGGCCCCAGTTGCCGTAAGAGTAGAATAAACACTCTGCTTTGATGCACGCGGCGGGCAAACAATGCTAGCGGAGAGGCTATGCAGGCGCTTTGTTTGATTGGCGTGCTGTTGTTCGCCTCTAACGCGCTCATCGACAGAAAGGAGCAAGTGGAAAAGGTCGGATGTTTTACAGAGATCGGACGAGGAGTTGTGCGCATCTGAGCTGTGTTCGTATCTGGTTTCATGTGGCTGTTGAGTTATGGCAGGCGGCAGCTCCCCGGCGCGGTAAAACGGTCGTGTATTTTGGCCAGACAGGCCTCCAGGTTCAAACCACTTTCCCAGCTCACGAGAAGAGGCATTCGGATATTTTCATTACTTTTCATTTCGCGTTACTTTGGAAATATTTCCGCGGGGAACTGGCGGATTAAAATTGCCGGACGGGCGAAATTAGAGCTGTAGAAATGATGGAGCTAGGGTCGGCTTTAAAAATGATAATGTCGGCCGCTGGTTTGCTGTCAGGGTTGAGACCTATCATCATTTCACTGGCGGATACCTCTCACGGGCCAAATTTGCAGTCAAATACGTACGGATCATAGCTACGGCTTTGTGGAGTCGAGATATCTTTATTTAGGGCTTGAAAATTAAGGCCTTGGTTAATTCAGTTGCGATAAATCCTTCAGAGAGATGAGAACTACACTGGCGAGCATTAGTCAAGTAACCGAGCGGCATGGATCCGATAGCGTGTCATGCGCAGTATCGGCTACACTGAGGCGGGTTACGTGTTTATGCAGAGGTGTTGCACGCCCGTGCACCTCATATCGTGTTGTTTATAAATAAACGCCAGCTTGATTGATGCATAAAGCTCTCGAGCTTGACAATATCGACATTGAAGATTAACAGTTACGTCAATGTCAAAGGACACCAATTTGCCACAACCATGAGCACCAAGCACCGCTAATGCGCTGTTTCGCACGCCATTTCTTACACATTGTTTCTTTACAGGTGTGAATAATGGCCAGCCTGCAGATCAATCTCCTCACCAGTTTCGTTCTACTCTCGACAGGTAAGGAAGTGATAAGGCCCATATCACTCCACTTTTGATGACATCATAATGACATCATCCTCAGGACAATAATGGCGCGGTGTGCCACGATCGCTTCAAAGCTACTTGCCAACAGTTGCCATTTTTGAAAATATTATTTTGAAATAAAGTTCCAAGTAATAAAAATATTGTAATAAAGTTGTTGAATAAATCGATACCATATCTAAAAACTTACTGAAAAATGATTTATTTATAGTAAAAATATAAGTTCGATGCGTTTTTTCGTTGCTTTCCTGCAACTGCAGAGGATTTTTAAATCGTCTATATCTTTAAAACCGGCCATTTATTAGCATATTGTGGCTCTTTTTTATCGCTAGAAAATTAGTTGGACTTTCAAATGACATCAACGGCTGACCGATATGTGTAGAGTGTCACCAACAATCTTCAAATGAAGTTAGTCATTTTTACGTTGTAAAGGAATGGAGTACCCCTTGCGAGCATCAGAGGTGACGTCACTCAGGATCTGTTTCTGATTGGTCGGCGGGGGAGTGACTGTACCTTCTATAAATGGCCTTGGAAGTGATAAGAGCATATGACAAAAAGAGAAGACAATATGACCCAATTGAGTAAAGATCTTTTTTATTGTATTTTGGTCATTTTAGTTTCTCCATTTCTCTGTTTTACCTTTATTTTTCTATCTTCCTCTCTCTTCCCCCCTCTTCTCTCCTCTCCCTCCCATTCTGGCTCTCCCCTTTCTCGCCCTCCCCTCTGCCTCCTCGGTCACCCTCTCGCGCTGTGTGTGGCAGCTCTCACGTCTGCGGCCCACTCGCACCACTCAGCGGCTGTCGGCCGCTGGGCGCCGCCCCTCCCATGCCTCCATTACCCTGTCGATAGCTAAATGAATCGCGTCGGGACCGATGCCCGCGCAGTGACCATATCAATTTCATTGCGGTGATCGGTCTCGGTACGACCGCCCGCCGACTGTCGCGGCTAATTTGGTCCACCGTGGTGTGACGATGGAGAGTGGAGACGGTAGGTATTGGTGGATGGCCACCGCCGGGTCTTGGGTGATGCTGAAGTCTGGTGGCTGTTTGGGGTCTGGTTTGGCCGCTGCTGATGATTTGGGTCCCGTTTGCTACTAACGTAGACCGTCAGTGCTAGAGTTTACGACGGCAGTCTGAGGTGGGGTCTGACTGCTGCTACAGTGTGAAACGAGAACTGACCACGAATGCAGTCTGAGGTCTGGTCTGATCTCTCTTGCAGCTCTTATCTTCAGCCTGTATTTAAAAATCGGGCTTGCACATTGCATAATGCATACCACATTACCACTATAAACTGTCCTTAGAGATAGCAGTTAAAACTTTAAATATATGATATTGTTTGTCTTATGTCGACCTGTTGTGACTGCGGCAGTGTGTGGACGCCGCCACATCCACTGCGTGCGTTAGTATTCTCTCCCTCCCGGCCATATAAGTCGCCCCGGGCGCTGTTTTTGTTTCGTTGAGATGCATCGAAAGACGGCGGCCACTGAGCACGGCACACACCCGGTCACAAAGCTGAGCTGATGAATAATTTAGCCAGGACCGGCAGCCGCCGCAGCCGCTCTCCTGATGAGCGGTGACCGCAGACTGACACTCTGCTACCCTTTGTCTGTGCCCCTGCACTGAGGCACCCCTCCATCCTTCCCTCGCCACAGTACCAGAGGCGCGTGGTTCGGCAGCGCTGGCTTGGTTTTGTCGGCGGTTGCGAGCAAAAAGCGCAGCCAGCTGTGAAGACAATAACCGTGATGAGATGATGAGACAGTAGTATTTCAAGCAGTTGTGGTAATGACATGGTCGGGAATCTAAACAGAGAGAAAGTACGCAGAACATATGGATCTTCACAGTTTTGTAGACCGAACGGCTGCGAAAACCGCTGTAAGAGAATTTAACAAGTGCCACTAGGAAGTAACCACTTGGTGAGCCGTCAGCTGTTTGCAGATGCAGTGCACTTCTGCTCGGAGCTTGCCATCGCTAGAATGACGATGGATGGTGCTGCATTACGATACTCAGCTGCAGAAAAAGCTATCATGAGCGGAGCTATAATTGAGCGCATTGCACGTCATTTATCACGATTACCTATGTCCACGAGTCCCATAAGCACTACAAGGCTGATGAGCAAATGACTTCCGAATGCTGCGCTGCGCTTAAACGGTGTTGGGACTTTGGACGTCGCTAATACCAGTAAATCAACTGCGGAATTGCCCTACACAGCAATCCGGTTCAGATACTTGCAAAAGTCCTTCCAAAGAAAGCGTGGGCGATAGCTGCCAGATGACTTGTCCATTTATTTAAAAGAAAAAAAAGAGATTGACTCACCAAACAAATTATTCTTATAAAATTTCGGTACAACTAGGATCATCTTTTGAAATATGCATCAAATCAGCTGTGCAAGAGATCGGTCAGCCAGCCAAACTCCATCCAATTGGCCGCGGCAGCCCACCGTTACCCGCCTCCCACACAGCTCATGGCCCGGCTCCGGCCGGCACCAGCGACGGGCGCTGTCAGGTCCGCACTGACGCAAAGTCCATCTTCCCTGACCGAATCCGGCCCACAGATCCCGACTATCATCCGTCCAGCGCTGCTAAGGGACAGATTTGACCACCGCCGGCCAGCGGGTCATTAATATATAACGGGGTCGAGGTGGGCCGCCTGACAGTGCCAAGATGAATGACACCTTGTGGTGCCCAAATCACTCGCTCGAGTCCCGGTTGGACCGGGTGACAGCCGAAATCTCAGTGAGACGAGCCATATAGGGTGTCACCTTGTTACAAAGTCAGCCTCCTCTGGACGCGAGCCGACGCTGAGGGCCGACAGAAGGCGGGCGAACAATGCTGTGAAATAAAAAAATTTGAGAGATTTGGCTGTGGTCTGTGAGATTTAGATGTTGCAAGAACTTCAGAAAGCATGGTTCATACTTCATTGGTGCCGGCCGAAGAACCGTCAAGAGATCGAAAAGTATTGGAATGACCCTCAGATATCAGACAGAATTATAGTTTTAAGCACGCTGAAGCTTCAAGTATAAATAATATTAGGTACCCATTAACCCATAATATTGTTGCAACTCACGCAATATACACTGCAGTTCTTTATCAAGAAGAACAGGCGACACGTCGAAGCTCTGTTTCGAAGCGGCAGCTGCCGTGCGGCATTTTCTTCGGAGCATGTAATGGTAGGCTGCCCGCATTGCTCGGGTGCGCGGCGGCACAGTATACCAACACAGGTATACGGTCGATTTGTCTATCGGCATTCGGCATCTCGGCTACGTTGTAGCACCGTCTTCTCTCACGAGTCGCTACTCAGTGTCTCTGTTTTCTACTTGTGCATGAGATGTTCTAATGACTTACTCCATGTTTTCTTGCTAAACGTGGCTGCTTTATTTGCCTCATGTCCTTGTTATAGCTCTAAACATAGATAACAGTAGAACATTAGCATGGTTAACAGTTCTACTGTTATCTATGCTTTAAACAATATCAAATAATCTGAAATTATCTGATCACTTCGCGAAATACGCAATAATAGTTTTCAGGGAGTTTTTTATTTGAATTTATACTCATAAAACAGGAATGTCCCTGAAATGTAATGCCTCCTTGTCTGGTACTTTCCCAGTTCTGTTACCAGTGAAGAAATCGATTGTTCCCGTATCTTCCAGTGTCTTATCTGTTCACTCCAGTGAGCTTCAAATTAAGAAACGGAATGTTTCCGAGTCTCACGCTCTCTCCTCTTCCTTTCGTCAGCTTTTGGTTTGGAGCCGGAGTTTAAGAGGCCTCTGAACAACATCACAGTTCCGGAGGGTCGGGACGCCACCTTCACCTGCGTGGTGCATCATCTCGGCGGCCACAAGGTGAGAGAGCTTCCACAGACACGAGATCGGTATCAGCGGGGCTTAATTAGTTAATTAGGACACAAAGTGATCAGCTTCAGAGGTACGGCAATCGGTCTCAGCCGAGCGGGATTATTATTCAGAGGAACCGGGTGACCAAATGCAGAAACGTGGTTACCGTTCTTAACTAAGTAAACTGAGTCCGCCTCCCTTGCTTTCTGAGAGTTGGGTCTAAAGCAATATAAGTAATTATAAAACTTTGAATCGGAAGTCGTTAAATAACGACAAACGAATTTATTATAAGATACAAATGAAGGATTTACTTTCTCTAAAAAAGACTAATGCGTTATAACATTCTGGCGAAGCACAAGCTATTCACAGATAACATTGATTCGTCGTGAACGAGCTACTGCCTTTTTAAGCCAACTATGTGCTTTTTAAATATGATGCCTACCACACTCAAGAACAGAACCTGTTAGTCTTCGTCAAGTCATTTAACGAGAGTGGTGCTTCTGCATAAAATATGACTTAGCCCGGCATTTGCTCTGGGTATGACACTTATTGGTTTCCCTAAAATGAGCTCCAAACAAATTGAATGCCTCACTAGTCAATAAGACGTATTGTTCATCAGTGTGTGCCGAAACAAGCTGGCAGCTAAAAGAGTGGTTTCTATCCCTCGTCGAAAGCTGTGTGCTAGGCAGCCGGGTTTGGAAGTAATCAGCTGCCATTACTTTTCCAATAACGCTCCCTTTCTGCTGTTATATATGAGAGATGCCTTAAATAACGATCAGCATTAAGCTTAACACGTTTTTACTCATGCCAATACCATTCAGAGGCCCGTGCAATAATGACTGACTTATCTGGTATTGGTCTTTTGGTCTTTTGCTCGTCTGGTGACATCACTCATGATGTAACCTCACTAACGGTGTACCTGGTTGCACCAATTGCTTCTATGACTCCGAATACGACCCACCAATCATATAAAGTGCCACATTGGAGCACGTTAGGATTCATTCCGGACGTAACCTTTTTGGCTCTGGATATATAGCAAAACTAAAATAGAAACCACGCAAGGACCGCTCGGCTGTGACTGACCAGCGCTGACCACCAGATTGAAGTTTCCTCGCACTGTACAAACAGACGCTCTCCAAACAGCGCTCGCTGCCAATAGCGTCATGACGAAACTCCCGCGCGATCTCAGACCTTGCGGCTCAGGCGGTCCTGTTTTGGAGGTTATTGGTCGGATGTTCTCTCCGTCTTACAGTAGCGAACGTGATCACAGGCTATGAGTTTGCGGCGTAAGACCACTGCGTGCTGGACAGATACTTGAAATTATGTGTTCCTAAATGACAAATAATTAAGTGCTCCAAATGCCCATTCATATTGCCTATGTGAGCATTTTTGCATGTTGGACAAAGGCATTTTTGCATGTTTTTGCACCCACAGAAACTTACAAATTTATCCAACCGGGCGTACGTTTGGCCGTTATAGTTGTAGCAACAGCTTCCCGGCTTCTTACATTGCATTTCATACCGATCTAGCCCCAGTGGAAGGCCGGAACCCGATGGCGGTCCCAATAACGGATGGACCCCTCTTCAGAGCACCAGAGGTGGGGGCAGTCCCGGCCAGAGCACGATATAGGTCTCGGCCCCGCTCAGAGTAATTGCATTACGCCGCCAGCCGGCCGCCAGATGGCGCCGACAACCTTTGCGCGGCCAGGTCCACCGCCAGATCCCGGCTGCAAAACTATGACGGCCCGATATAATTTGGTTAGAGCCATTAGCTGTCGACGCGACGACGGCGGCACGGTCAGAGCACGGCGCTGGCGTTCTCCCGACGTGGCCGTGCGGGCGTGCTCGCGTCGACGTGGTTCAGTCGGCACGCGGCGGGAAACATCCCATTTGATTACGCTCCCAGCAATATCGCACCGCCTCTGGCGTTATGTGAGAGCTAAGCCGGTAAGTGGCGCACGACCACCCATTACGTCGTTTTTGGTCACGGCGTGCTCTTGCGACAATAAAATGTGTTTTGGTCGCAGACTGTGGAAACCTGCCCTATTCGATACAGGGAAACTTTCCATAACCTTTAAATTCAAGGTAACTATTGATGGTGTTGCACCACTGTTCTTGTTTTATGATGCATTTTTAACAAATAAGTAATACGAGTACAAAAAATTATCATAACATAGAACTTCAAGTGTTAAGAGTATAAAAAATATTGTAAGAATAAAGGTCTGGACGAAAGAGTAGAAATAAAACAATTATTATTGAAGGCATTATCAAATAATAGCGCTGTTTGCGTAGAAGCAGCGCAGTGGTAGCGCAAACACGATCTTGTTTGGCGGCACCTGAACTGACTGGGCGTGTGTCACCCATTTCCGGTCGGACGGGGGAGAGACGTCTGTTTGGGCACCAACGGCGCCCCAGTCGATCGTCTCCGAACCCTGCACGCTCAGCAGTTAACTTCTGAAGCGAACCATTAACCAAATTATTAATTTTGGCGTCCGCCTGACGGCGCGCCGTCCGTTTGCGTTGGCAGCTACACATTGCCCGCGTCAAGAGTGGTCAGTTTCCGAAGGCGGAGGTTCAGCAGAGCTATTCTGAGGCCTCGGGAGTGGGGTTAAATGGGGCACATCAGGGCGATACAACCGCAGACTTTTTGAAAAACACTTTTTTGTTAATATTTTTTTCAATTGATATGTAGACGGGCATGACTCTAAACTAGTCAAAAGTCATGTTTGCTGCGTGGTCTAATCGTCGTGAAAACACGCCAGCGAGTTAGTAAACTGCATTAAAGTGCAGTATATGAGTTGTGCTCGTTAAAAGATGCTGAATGTAATAGTGCCATTTTGACGATCATTTCGCTGATAGTTGCAAAACAAATAACGCTTTCCTCTCGCAGCATTAGCGATAAGTTTAAGGCAGTAATTCTGTCCCTAAATGGTTAATGCGCATCAATAGTTTATGTTCATCGTATTACACAGTGCAGTAGAGCCGACGAACACCTACAGAGTGTTTGGTAACTGATGGGATCATTCGGTCGTCCGGTCGGCATCAAAAGCAAAACATCACCGCTCTCCAGCACAATGCACACAGAGTGTCAGTAGCCAAACACCAATTCTAAACAAACACGCTTGCAACACTCGATTGATTTTTCGTGTCGCCCAAACATCCGAGACGCCGCCGCGTAATGGCGTGTGGAGACAAAGACCGCGAAGGGCCGGAGAGACCGCGGGATTGGAGCGGCTGGTGGGAAGGAGGGGAGCAGTGGACACCGCCCCGGGGCATAAGACCGACGTGGACCGTCGCCCAAGGGCGGTCGGCCTACTCCGGGCAGAGTACGGGACCGGAGATGTATGGCGAACTGACTAATCTGGAGAACCGCCGCCGGCGTGCGGCCACTGACCGATCTACGGTGGTAACGCACCATTTGAAGCAGATTGGTCGACACAAGCCTCGGAGCCTGTCAGGCGCACGAAAAACAGAGACAGGTGGAGGGGAAACCAAGTTATGGACGCTGATATCCAGACTAGAAATTTGGTCTAAGGATTATTGTTGTGGGCATGGGTTTAAGACGGCTGTAATCAAGGCTATGGAACGGTCACTTCACGGTTAGATGAAGTGACAGTGATCACTTTATTACATGACCGCAGTTCCAGCGTGTCAAGAAATATGTGCTGGCGTCGCTTATTAGTAACAAGGTAAAGAAATAGTATTTTGGGATAATATTTAGACATTTAGAATAAGTAGGCAGTAAGTAGCCTCTGTCATTTTCGTTTATCAGTTATTGCTCCTTACATAATGTAATATGAGTTGTTTATTCCCGGGATGCTCCAAATCGCTTATCCATCAGGGTACTGGCTGCAGCGCAACAATTTGATTGGACTACAGGGTGTTTCACTAAAAGTGTCAAAAAGTAAATGCTTATTAAAGATATATAGAATATGAAAATCACGTGGCTGCGCACGTGGCTTTGTTGCAAATTTTTGGACATTTATTATTTATCCATTTAAGATATATTTTACACTCATACGGAGCGAGGGCAGGAGGCCAAAGTTACTAGTCATTTTTTCCTTATGCAAAACAAGAACAGTTATTTACACCGCAACAGGAGGGGTGAATTACACTTATGTACATTTGGTGCCATCAGAAACATTGAAACCGTATGCCGACTTTTCAGGAAACTTTTTACTCTCTCACCTCGCTACGTTCCAGATTATAAAAGTTTCAAAGGGCTTGTTGAGAGGTTTAAAAGGGTTCCTTCGATGCCGGTTCCAGTCCAAAAAATGCGGGGTTGCCCCCACCTCTCGGCGGAAACCGTTGAGAAGGTCAGGGTCTTTTTGAGGGCCTTTGAAGATAACAAGAAGCTAATTCCAACATCAGAAATAGCCAGGGCCTTACAAGTTATTAAAATCAACCACTGTAACGGCTGTAGCCACCAGGAACTGACTGGACCAGAAGCTCCTGGGCCGAATAATCAGCTGCCTCGCCGCCCGCCCCTGGCCGGCGCGAAGCCCCGATCTGTCACCGCTAAGCCTCTGGTTTGGTCAGTGACTCAGTAGCTCTCGCAGAGCTGAGGAAGACTCAAGTCGCATCACTTCGGGAGCTGAAGAGCACAATTCAAGGCTTTGCCGACAGTCTGGACGCTGAAGATGAAAACGGGCTGTGAGGCACCTCCGGACAAGTGCCGAAACGGTGCATCAAAAGAAGGGGCAGATGTGTGGAATAGGTTTGAGTGACGGTGATATCGTTTTTATATATTCAAATGTCCAACAATTGCGGATAAAATGATATGCAAATTTCCTTAGAAAACATTGTTATTATGTGCATTATGACCTTTTACTTTTTGACACTTTTAGTGAAACACCCTGTATATTGCCCGTTCAACCTTCCATCAAAAGAATATCCCTTATCCATAATCCGCCCGCCGATACTCACTTCTTTGCCGTATCCTGCGGTTGTGAGCGCTCAGTGTGGGACGCTTCAATAACTATCTACAGGTCAGCTTTGCTCCGATAAAGC